CGTAACGACTTCGTAACACGCCACAGGGTATATTCTGACCACTTTTAATCAGACTAGTTCCCCACTATACAGTTTTATCACAGACGTCTGGTGTCTCAGGGGGGAAAAAATCATGAAGTAATCTCAAAAATGAAATTGCTGATTGTTTGATCAATACTGGCATTGGCAACAGCTAAATCACTGAATCTCGCGTGACTCCGGAGCTCTTGTGATGACGTACGACCATAAAACTTTCTATTTATCAGTTTTAATTCATTTTCGTGCTCAAAATCATTTGACGACTCATTCGTTTTAATGACACTGATTTTTCTAATTAAAAATTTTTTCAACGATTTGCGCTTCAACTGATTAATTCAGGAAGCGTCAATTACGGAAATTATTCATCATTCTGTGTCCACTTGTTATCGTATTCTGTTTCTCCAATTCCCCAAGGTAAAAACAACCGTTGAAATGTCACAAGTTGCTCGGGACAACGGGGAAACAATGAATAAAAATGACTCCTGCAACTTTCATTTTTGAATATCTCGGGCGGTTGTTGATATTCACAAAGAGTGAACACTAAAAGTTCAATGGTTTTACGTAAGCTCTGTAATTTCAATTCTCGTTGGTAAAAATGTGCGGAAAGTGGATTATAAAAATGAGGGAGGAATAATTCAGACACGTTCACGGTTACAGATTGCTTCACGCTCGGTGAACACGAACCGTTCTATCGGTGCGTGTTATCAAACAATGTGTATTAAAGTCGTGAGGACTGGGGGAAACATAACGTATGAGTCGTATTTCAGTTTGAGTGAATGTCGATTAGAATTTGTTGTAAATCATTGCTGTGGAATTTCATTGGAAAATTAAATTTTCTTGGTGTGATGGAAATTAAAAGATAGAATTTGTATTAACAGCGAGGGAGGAACGCCCATTTTGCCCCAGTTTTCAATTCCACGAGAGAGAATTCAGGAGTTTCAGAAAATTTTGGAAATTTTTATTTTCAAAAAAATAAAAAAATAAAATAAAATAAAAATTTGTTTTTGTTTTTTATTTTTATTTTCTTATACTGAGGGAAGCTATAAATTTCAGCTAAACTATTCAGTGAAAATAAATAGAAGTCAGGTAAATTCAGATAAATCAGTGACGAAGCGATAAAAGGGGTTGAAGTTGAGGTCGCTGAGTTTTCGAGGAATAACTCCGAATCTAAGGGAGATAACGAAATTTTCGTAATGACCTCTTTTGTATAGTGGATTAAGAACTACAAAAAAGGTCCTGATAAAAATTTTGCCATTTCCCGTAGATTTCGAGATATTCATTGAAAAATATTTCGTTAAAATGGCCTGCTGTTGAAAAATTTGGAATTTCATTAAATTTCCAGTGAAATCTGAAATTTCAGAACTTTAAAAAATGACGAGTCAATTGAACACGAAATTTCAATTCTTTGAATTAAAAATTACGGTATTTCGAATGAAATTTACAACATTTCTATGACATATTTATTGCAAATAATGCAATTTTTACCAGAAAAATAAAAAAAGGAGTGATTTTCATAATATTTTTCTCTCCGCCCACAAGACTAAAAAATCATCTCCATATAATTGAAAATCAAGGATTGACCGTATTCTGCAATGACTCACGATAACCATTCAATTACCATATTTCCAAAGCCCATCGCCCCCAACGCATAAACGAGAATCGTCGAGAATGGAGAAAAAAGAATTCTCATTGTCTATTATATTATTTTTTATCACTCATGTCCTTTTGAGTGCCGAAGCTCCCCGACCCCATAATTTTCCCAAGATTGCGAGAATCATATTCTCGGGTGGATTTGCGGTAAATCCCCGCCTCTTATCCGGGAAACGTATTGAAAAAGATACGGTGAGGAGGGTGGGAGGGGCGGGGGGCAATAGCGAAAGGCATCAGAAAAGTAGTTTGTGTATATCGAGACCATCGTGGGCGCTAGCGTGGGTCGTACACTTCTGGCCCCGAAACCAATATCCCCCCGAGGCTGTACCAAGCAACAAGAAAATTCATTATGCTGTTTTTTTCGTGATAATTCGTGATGAATGTCGAACGAAAATGGCATAAAGATAAGCGAAAACGTCGAGGAAATATTAATTTGAATGGGAAAAATAAATCAATGAATGTTGCTTTAGCTTTGGTGTAACGAATGCCAAAATTATTAACTTTTCGGCACAACTAATTTTTCATCTCAGGGTTTCCAATTAATAAAATTTTAAAGAATTCAGTAGCGAAGTGATACAACGGTTTAAGTCGACTTATCTCCCAGTTGAGTTTTTGAGGAATATTTCCGAATCTAAGAGAGATAGCGAAATTTTCGTACTCACATTTGTTGTAGCTCTCAGTTGGCTCTACAAAAAAGGTTATAACAACAATTTCGCTATCTCCCTGAGATTCCGAGATATTCATTGAAAACTGGTCAATAGTAAAAATTGACTTGTAGCGTTTTACCACTTCGCTACTGAATGAAATTAACATTATTTCATTCGCACAAAATTCAAAAAAAAATTTCTAATCCCAATTATCAAGAATATTTTCCCATTCCAATAAACAGCCCTCAGTTTTCATTCGCTCAAAATTACAGACGAATAAAAGAATTAAAATAATGAAGAGTGCAAACAAACTTCAAAAACAATAAAAAAAATATGCACAAAACCAGGACATTGACATAGAGATCAAATCTGTTGAATTAAAGTTCAAGTGTAACTTGTCAGAGTGTTGTGTGCCCCAGCTCCCGTGTGAAATCGGTCGCTGCAAACTCCCTCACACAAATAAACCCAGAAAGAGGAAAAATCACGATGAGGCGCAGCTCGTCGTCTCGTTGTGGAGGTTGAAGGTCGCGTGGGAGACCTGCAAATGCAAAACCCACCGTCGAGTAAACGAGGACAGCACGCGAAATCCTGGGAATAATCATCTCACCGTTTAATTGCCCGATAGTAATCCAGTGTATCTAATCTTTTATTCAAAACGAGTGAAAGTTCTCTTCATTTTTCATTCAACGAAAATTAGTTTACGCAGAGGAGAAGAATAAACATTTGTAATTAGCACTGGAGATCGTTGGACGGATTTATTATTCCGATTGTTTTCGGAGAAGTGATGAAGATGGTTGTGTCTCACAGGGAGACCAGCATATCCTCGAACATTCGAGCGATAATCGAACAGCTGAACTTGAATCCGGTGGAGCGAAGGCGTTTGATCGATCGAAACTGCGATAACGGGAGGATCAGACCTGTTAGTTCTCCGGCTAAAATAACGATTGGGGTTTACGGATGTCGGGATAGAAATATCGATGTCAAGCCGGTGATCGAGGGTTATAAAAGGGATGAAGAGACGAGGATAGCATTTTGCAAGGAAAAAGTCGAGGAAAAACCGAAGGAGAAGAGCGAAACTCCAGGGGAAAAGGCGGATGCAAAACCCAGAGCGGAGAGCTTCAGGGAGAAGAATCAGAACAAAACGACAATTGAGATCTTCAAAGATCATCAGAATGAGGAAAAACCGCAGGTGAATAGTTGGAGGGAGAAGAGGGACGAGAAGACGAGGATTGAAATCATCAGGGATGAGGATAAGGAGACGTTGAGGATCGAGATCCTGAAGGATGAGAGTCCGGAAATTGTCACGCCGGTGACGACTCCCAGTGGAAAAGTGACGATTGGGGTGTGGGGTCAGGGGAGGGGGGAAGTGAGGGCTGGAGCGGGGGGAAAAGTTATTGGAAAACAGGAGGGGGATGAGGAGAAGATTTGTGTCGTGGTTTCTAGGGCGAAGAAGGCTGAGATGAGACAGAGAATACCTGAGGAAAAGGATATTGAGGTAATGAAGTCGTTCGGGCATTTTAATCAATCGAAGTTGTGAAAATCATGAAAAAATTTATAAAATATTCGAATTGGATAGAAAATTATTTTTGAAGACTTCATTTCGTGACATGAAGAGAAAAAAAGGAATATTCGAATTTAATTTTAAATTCGATTTTACAACAATTTTCAGATTAAAATAAATGAATGGAAATTAATTTTGATCAATTGAATTGATAATTCCATGAATCATCGCAGTTGTTTTATGAAAGATGAAAAATTTCTTGGAATAAAAATGATTAATTACTCCCAAAATTCCCCGACTGGTTTGAATTTTAATTTTTAAGAAATTTTTTTCTCAGAAAATGGAAAAAAATGGAAATTTTTAAAATCATTTCCTTTTTTTATGATTAATTCATTAAAGTTGACTGAAAATTAAAAGAATATCTCAATGGAATCAACAACAATTCTTCCAATAAAATAAGTAAATAGAAATTAATTTTCAATGATAAGAAACAAAATTTAATAATAAAATTAGCGAATTCATGAATCATCCGAACGTTTTTATGGAAGATGCTTCTAGCGATATTTTCGGTATTTTCCGTAAAATGGTGTCGATGAAAAATTTCTGCGAATAAAAATGATTAATCACTCGCCAAGTTCATCGACTGGTTGAGCCATTTTCTTTATTTGACACACGTCTTCCGGAGTATTCAGCATTGGTCCCTGCAACCGGTTTTCTCCCTCAAATTGCGGTTAAGTGGTACCCCGTGCAAACCCAAAGTCCTCCCTCCCCCTGTCATTCTCACCTATCAGAGACACCCAAAGACCCCGAAGGACAGCAGAAGTTGGTACCGTTAACGAGACATTTCAAAACCACTTTGAAAGTTTCAAATGTCGCATTGAACGAGTTTCGAAAACACGAGCAACAAGACAATAAAAAAAAACTGTTTGCAAAATAGTTCCGGCGGCTGTCAGAAGTGCGAAATTGAGGAAAAGGTGGAGAAAAGGTAAATGAAAACTGCGGGGGCAGTCGAGCACATCTCGATGACGCAACTGAAACGAGTGGAGAAAATAACTAAAGATTATCATCTTCAGAAGCGCTCATTTGCTTTTCCCTGAAGTTTTAGTTTGTGTAATTTGTGCAGTTGGTGCTACTCTTTCCTACGAAAATTTAATTATTCTTTTTTCTCGGTTTTTAATGCGCAGGTTACGAGAACACAGCAGGATGTTGTGGAGAGGATCACAGCGACGCCAAAGGAGGATTTACGTAAGTCTCCACTCCTTTTTATGGAGGAAAAATATTTTTTCAACAAACGAAATCATAAAATCACTCCGCCCATTTTGAAATTCAATTCTTCGTTATTATTCAGACTTTCTATTCGGGTTTTGTTTGACGGACACGGTACACTATTTTTTCACTGATTAATTCAGTATCGAGATAAGAAATCGTAATGAATAAATCTTGAAATTTTTTTAGTTGCTCGATGGGAAAATGTCAAGAGTAGTTGATTAGTGAAAAAAAATTTGGAGAAAATCGGGGAAATAATTGGACATTCCGTAGCAATGCGGTTCCAATCGATTGAGCTTTAAACTGAGTTTCCGAAGAATTTTCGTAATTACCGTTTTGTAGCCCTCAATTCGCTCTACAAAAATTCAAAAAAAAAAACATAAAAAAATTTTTCATCAAAAATTACGTTTTATCACTGCACTGAACTCATTTCCCTGACATTATAAACTAGTGATTAACCAGGAAAATGATTAATATTTCTCCACAAAATATGCTCGCGATTAGACTCTCCATTCCTGACACAAATACAATAGCTAAATTGCACGATTTTTTAAAATCTCAAGTTTAGAACCCAAATAAATAATTTTTTATTCACGAATGTCTGCAATATTGCTCATGGTTTAATAATTCATCGTTAAAAGTTCGAAGATTTACGTCACGTAAAAATTATGTTACGATCCATAAAATTCCCACAACTCAAGAGAGTAATATATTTTTCACATCAGATTTTTTCCGCATTTTTACGTGAAAAAATTCCGAAGGAGAATTTCGCATCACTTTTACGTTTTGCCACATAATTTTTCCTCAAGTAGTTTTCCCAACAATGAACATTGTTTCAAGAATAAAAAAAAGACATCAATAGATGTTTCTAGACATTACCCTCTAGACTCCACATTCTTAACATAAACACAATAGGGAATTTGCATGATTTTTTTTTTCAATTTTCTAATGTCGAGTTTAGAATTTAAATAAATCATTTTTTATCCACGAGTGCTCGAAATATTTCCCATTATTTGATAATTAATTATTAATTATTACTATTAATAGTTACAATTAATAATTTATTATTATTATTAATTATTTAATGATTACGTATCGATCCATAAAATTTTCGCTTGATTTTTTTCGCATTTTTACGTGAAAAATCCCCGGAATAGCATTTCGCCTCACTTTTACGTTTTGCCCCATAATTTTTCCTCAAATTGTCTCTCCGCCTAGAGAAATTAGAAATAACTGAGCTTCATCCAAGTTTCCCCTTGCAAACCTATAAAATTCAAATTCTCCTCACGGCAACCTTACTCAGCCCTCTCAACCCCTAAACTCCCAAATTAATCAACAGCGGAACTGGAGAGTGCAAGTCTGAGTCACACAGCAGCGCACCACCGCATAGCGATCCGGCCAAAGAACCGCAGGCCCCCGCGAAGGCCGACCCCCAGCTCCTCCTCCACGGTGACCGTCATCTCCGAGAGTTCGGACACCCTGGACAGTCTCGAGCCAATAATGAGTTCGCCAGGAAGTTCGCCAGTTGCGCCAAAGGCGCCCTCGATCCTGCGAAAGTCGTCGAGTCGCCTCTCCCGAAACTGCGAGCTCTTCGAGGAGTTGGAATCGAAGCTCCCGAGGAAGCCAGCGAGCGTGGCCTCGCTGTCGCCGGACAGCCTGGACTCCACAGCGAAAACGATCCTCGATAACTCCGAAGCTGAGGAGCCCCAGGAGAGGAAGGCAGTGGTCCGCAGGCCCTCGAGCAGAGTCTCGAAGGGGTCCGACGTGTTCGAGGAGTTGGAGTCGCGTCTCCCAAGACGAAGGTCCATCAGCAGACTGTCAAAGTCTCCGGACAGCCTCGAGAACTCCTTCTCAAAGTCCTCAGAGGGCTTCGACAAGCTGACGGAGCACGAGGAGGTGAAGCCAGCTGCGCGGCGACTGCAGACGTCGATCTCCAAGTCGACAGAGGGCTTCGACATGATATCGGAGGCTGTGGAGGTGCGACCGATGCCCAGAAGACTGCCAACTGCCATTTCCAAGTCGACCGAGGGCTTCGACAAACTCATGGAGCACGATGAGCCTCGACCAGTGGCCAGAAGACTCCTTCTGCCAATGTCAAAGTCCTCGGACGTCGTCTCCAAGTCCTCGGATAGTCTGGAAGTGCTGGAGGCACTCACCAGTGATGACTCGATTGAGAGGAGACGAAGTAGCTTCGAGATGAGACCCAGGAGGGGGGTCAAGGTCATGTCCATGTCCTCGGAGAATTTCGAGGCTCTAGAGCAGGTGCAGGAGCAGAAGAGAAATAGCGCTTGTGATGTCAGTCTTTCCCGGGGAAAGAGACAATGCAAGATTATTTCCAAGTCGAGCGAGAGCTTCGAGGCCATGGAGACGAGTTTGGAGGGGAATAGGGGGGGCTTGGAGCTGGGGAAGTACGGCTGGAGGTCCGGGAAGAGGGTCTCCTCGGAGAGCTCGGATAATTTTGAGGGGGAGGAGAGGTGCGAGAGGAAGAGCAGGAGGCCGAAGAGGGTCTCCAGCTCGACTGTCATCGATATCTTCCCCGGGGAGGGGCTGGGGGAGGAGGAGAAGGACTTCCGGAGGAAGGCGAGGGTGCAAAAGTCCTCGGAGAGCTCCGAACTGGGGAGCACTGATACGCTGGACTCGGAGAGGAGGAATAAGTCCGATAGCACTGAGACTCTCGATAGCCTGGAGAAGGATGGCGAACAGGAGGGACGCGATGAGGACATGGGGGATGATGATAAACGTGATAAACATGTATGTATTGAGTTTTGAATGAGGATTTTTTATTGACTGGAGATGGCAATGGGGCGAGGGGGGTAATTTATGAATTGGGGATTATCCAAACCCCATTTGACCCGAGATTACTGGACTTTCGAGAATTATTTTATTGCTCAAACTTTGGAGGTATAAATTTGGGGTTTGATTATCAACTTTGGGAGATATTTTAAAAATCTGAAGAATTTAGGACGTCGATTTTATGAGGAAAGTTCATGAAATAATTGAAAAATTGGAATTTTTTTAAGATTATGATGCGAAATACATGATCAATGTGTATATATCTAGCTTCAAATGTGGATTTGTAACTAATTGATGTTAAAAAGAGTTGGTTGAAGAAGAAAAACATATAAATTAAGGTTTATTCAATCCTAGATCACTGAATCCTCAGCATTATTCAAACTTTGCAACTCTAAGTTTAATTTTGCATTTTTAATTTTTGAATTAGAAAGCTTATTTTTAAAAAATTATTGATTAAATAAGTGAAAATTTCAGTTTTTGAAGGTGACGATCTAAAAATTCTTTAAAAAAAATCCTCTTCACGTAAAAAAACTTGCAAAAAATTCCAATTCTCCAATATAATACCCCAAAAACATTTCCACCAAGTTTTACAAAGTTCTGTCACTCCTTCTAGGATTCATGGATAAAACCCGAATCAGAGCCGACGAACGCAGTCACCACGACCCCAGAGGAGCCAAAAACCCCCGAGAAGAGCTACTGGCGTCAGACATCAGAATCAAAAGAGAACATCGACATCCACCAGCTGCTGGCCCTGACGATCGTCAGTCGCATATCCGACAACGGTAACAACCAGCGAAACTCAGCCCAGTTCCCCAAGAAGAAGCTAGCCTCACCCCCGACATCTCCCATCAAACAAGAAGACAACAAATTACTCTTCAACAGTTTATTGTCCAACAAAAACGATGAGGATCTCCAGAATATGTTGAATGGGAACATATCCGAGGTATCGACTGACACCAAAAGCTTCAAGGAGAAACTCATAATGTTCGAGAAGCTGGGAAAATAATTAAGTAATTCTCAACCAGTTGTAATTAACAATCAGCCAATTTAAATGGCCTCAAGAGAATGTAATTAAAGTGTTCTTGCTACTATGGAGATTAATCCTCTCGCAATGCAAATTGTACATTAAATCAAAACATAATTAAAATTATTCTCAACTTAGTGACGCCTAATTAGTCCACGTGCTGAGCACGAGTCAAAATTATGTACAAAACTAAGTGAAAAAAAAAACGTAATTCAATTACAATAATCAATCGTACTGTGTCACTTCCAATATCATCGTTTTGTTTTTCTACGAATGTAAATGTAATGTATGTAATATGTAGTTTGTGGTCGATGAAACGATAAAGAAATGATTGAACGTAAATTATTTAAGTGCCTGTCATCTTCATATCTATTCTCCTCGTTGCCTAAATAAAATAACAAGCCTATTATCGAATAAAGAGGCATTTGAAGCATTTTTTCAAATGTGAATGTATGATACTGCAGTGTTTTATCCACTTATCGTTACTGTAATTATCCTCCATCGATGTGTAAATAGAGATTAGATGGGTAGGTGACAATTGGAATTACACAAACTGCTGGATTATTTCCTGAATTAGTAAATTATTAATGCGAGAGATTATTGGAGAGATTGATACTCGTGTGGTTACCCTTCATTATGAGCCAAAGACTAGAGGCTCACAGATTTATGGAATATGTTGTGTTGTTTTAAATTCTCAGCTGGAATGACTGTAAATATAATAAAAAGAGTATTGAAAATTAAAACAGTTTCTATCAGAAGCGATTCCAATATTTTTTTTTTTAATTTTTTGGAATATTTTGGACGATTTGCGGCACGTTGATGAGGGATTTAATGCCTAAAAATAATCCCCGAGGTGAATTGTTTGATAATCCAGACAGTCATTGGATTTTTTCAATAGTGAAATGATGAATTGGAATGTGGAATCCATTGTTATCTCGATGACGAGTGGTTCTAGGAAAAAATGTCAAAAGATATTTTTTGCTGGAAATTTAATTCTCTGCAAAAAAGATTTTCTGACATTTTCCCGTAAAACCAATCATTTTCGAGATAAATAAACAAATAACAAAAATGTTGAATGACTCTTGTTAGAAATTATCATTTCTTCATTGATTAAATCATAATTTGGAAAGAGATATACGCATTAGTCACTCAGAAGAAATATATATGTACAAACATTGTAATGAATGTTTAGGCGACGAACATAAAGAATAAACCTCATTGAATCAGAAACAAAATTCAAAGGTTCTCAATTCAATCTTTATTTCAGGTTATTCGTTCCCTGCAGACACCCTCGAACGCCGAGAGATTTAAAAAATTACAAAATACTTAATAATAGTATGATGCAGTTGTCCATCTCCCTCGAGGGGAAACAAAAAAGTTCAGTTGTATTCACGAGAACCAAAAAACGAATGCGCTATCACAGGACCTTAATGATTAAACTCATTCATCCGTTCATTTAGTATTCTCTCTTCCGAATGATCCCCTTGAATTCGCCCCTTCAAATGTACAAAAGAGGAATGTAACAGTGGATCCGATAATCGCATTAATGACATTTAACAACAATTATTCAATCTATGATGTAAGTTTAAGTTTTTCAGTGAAGAAAATACGTTTCACTTTTATTTAATACGTAAACATCAACGGAAATTGTTAATGATGAATCAATAATAATCGACTGAACATTCTAAATTCAGCATTCAATCAAGAAAGAACGAAATGTTGAGCTGTGATTGAGGTATTAAACTCACTAGGCACTTTTCTATAAATTCGCTGAATCAAAGAAAAGCTCTCATTTCAATTTCGTTATTTAACAGAACACGAAACATTCTGAATTACAAGACGATAAATGAGTTCAATATTCTAAATTCACCATCAAATCAAAGAGAATGAAACATTGAGCTGTGTTTGAGGAATTAAATTGGTTAGGCACTTCTCCGTAAATTCGTCGAATGAAAGAGAAGAGTTTATTTCAATTTCCACTATCCAACAGAGTATATCTCGTCAATGACTCCTCTACTGACCAATAAAAAATAAAAACCAAAGAATTCAGTCGATCATTAAAAGAACCGATGAAGTATTCAAAATTTCCAGTCGAACTCGACAAATTTGTGTGCTAATTCGTGCAAAAAATGGTGCACAACCCCTCCCTACAGCTCATCATGGTTGCTCTGAGCCTCTGCATTGGGATCGCAAAGAGCAGGAGTTGTGAAGATCATGGCGTATTCACATCGATTGGGTTCGGACGCTGAGATGAGTTTATTCTCCTTGCCACATCGTAAATTAACAGTGACAGTGCGAGCCGGCCCATTCCAGCAAGTGTGTCCCCTGTCGAATTTCATCTGTGTGTACTTGTGAGGTCCCACGCCAGTCCAGTCTGACCACTGCCCCAGGGAGACTTCACTGCCCCCGGATTTAGCGCTCTGAGTGGCTTTCCCATACAGACACAACGAGTAGACGTACTCCAGGTCTGAGAGCTTGAAGCACTGGCCATCGAGGGTGGCGAATACCTCGTCAGGGCCATAGTCACGTTCAACTTTCGCCTCCAGGTCCCTTATCTCGTTCCCAATGTCCATGACGTTCTTCTCGGCCTGTTGGTAGTGGGTTCTTGCTTCGTTCGCTTCGTTCACAAGGGCTTGAGTCTCTTCGTCGTACTTCACCTCTGGCTCTGGCTCTGGCTCGGGGTCTTTCTCCACTTCCTCGTGGTGCGCCTCGTCCTCGTGATCGAGGTCATCCTCGTGGTCGTCTGAGTCGTGATCTTCGTCGTCTGGGTGGTCCTCTGGGTGATCCTCTCCCTGGTCTTGAGGTTGACTTGGGGGAAGGAAAGCTCCTGGAGATTCAGGAGAAAAAAGAATTATACTGGGAAAAAACTGTAATTGGAAACTATAATTGGAGCTTGAATTTATGTTTCAGGGGTTGAGTGATGGAATGACATTACTTTTGAAGATTTTTTTAAATAGAATGTAGGGAAAATTATTTTAGTTGCGAATTATGCGAATTATCGGAGTTAGAAGTGGGATTAAACCTCTAGACGCTAAGCTCTGACGCTAGCGCTAGACTGTTTTCAAAAAATTGAGACGCCATTGAATTTGATTTGATTTAAAGAAAAATTATGAAATTTCAAATTTCCTAGAAAATTGAACGAAAGTCCAAATTCTTTCGAGCAGCAGGAAGACGAGAATTCCCTCACTTACTTGAATTTTCAATCAGAACATGAATATTTAGTACCAAATTACGCTAAAATTCCGAATTGAAATTACATTAATTTGAAATTCAATGATTAAACTGAAATAGACTGTTTCCATTAATTTTTTTACAAAGTTTTAAATTCTTAATGACGATTAACTACGAAATTCCTTGGAATTTCAGTAATAAAAATTTCCAAAAAAAGTATCGGAAATTACTTATAATTTTAAAAAATCGTAATAACTCATTGAATTTTTAATGAAATGATATCATTCTTCTTTCTTGGTAAAGTACAATCCTTTCCCTTTGTGATGAGCCTAGACTAAACTAATTGATAAATTCAGTAGCGAAGCGGTAAAACAGTTCAATTCGTTTCTGACTATACGTCAGTTTTCCCTAAATATCTCGCGATTCAAGGGAGATAGAAAAATTTTTGTAATGACCTTTTCTGTAGAGCGCATAAAAACCTACAAAAAAGGTTCCTACAAAAATTTCTCTATCTCCCTTAGATTCGTCGATACTCCTCGAAACCACGTTTTACCACTTCGCTAATTAGTTTCTGCGTTCCGAAGAATGAAAAAAAAAACTCCATTTTGCCCACCCCCGTCGCCCCGAACAACCCCCTCGAATAATCCCAAAAATCGACATCGAATTCACCTCGTTCCCTCATGAGGAAAGGCTTGATGTTCTCCCAGGACTTCTCCAAGAACTCCTCCAGATTCACCTCATCCCTGTTCCCAAGGAAGTACATGGCCTCTTCCTCCGTAACGACTCCATTCCCATCGCGATCGAAGGTCACCCTTGTCTGTATCTCAGCGACAGTGACAGTTCCGCTCTCATCTGAGTCCACCATCCTGAAGTACTCCTCCGCCTCGATCTCCCGCGCCTCCTCCTTGGGCTCTTCCTTGGGTTCGGGCTCCACAGGCTTGTACTTCTCCAAGGCCGCCCTCTCCCTCTCCTCCACCTGATTCTTAATGTTCTCCTTCTCCTCCCTGATCATCTTCGCCTCCTCATAGTCCCCCTTCAGCTTGGCCAGCTTCGATGCCCTCTCCTCCTTGAGTTTCTTCCCCTCGGCGCACATCTCCAGACGAATTTGGTTCCCCGCCTTGGCCTCTTCGGCCGCTTTCTCGGCCTCAGCCCTGGCCTCGCGCCCCAGCTCATGACAATTGTCAAGACACTTGGCCCCAGAGGCATACTCATCACTGGTATCACAACAATCACAAACCCCATCGTTCACTCGACTCGATGGAATATACTGCGCCTCAAACCCCGCATTTTGGCAGTAAAAATGACCGTTGGAGCATGCAGCAGTGCCAGGCTCATCGCTCCCATCCCCGCAGTCACAGTAATCATCATTCACCCGGTGAAAAAGTATTTTGCGACTGCCATCGAGACACTCAAAGTCACGCTCAGGACTATAGAGTGATGCCTTTGATATCGGCACACCACGGGGTCTTGGCACTTGTGTACCGGCTACGTGGCTCAACTCGAGTGATAAGACCACCGCTGACACTGTTAGTAGTAGAAAATAATTTAACATTTTTGGATGTGTAACTTACGGGTAGATTGTCAATTCTGCGGCTCTTGCCAACAGAGGTTTTTGAGTTTCGAGGCACTGAGCACTGTTTGGAGCTTGTTTTTCACCCCCGAATTTGAGGTTCTGGAGTCCGAGATGATTATGACACGCACAACTGCCTACAATGGACAACAATCGACCAATCCAAGGACTGGGATGGACTTTACACGTCACTGCGAGCAGCGCTGAGTGTCGAGGGATTTTTATTGTGGGTTTAAGCCGAACCCACAATAAAAATCCAGCAGATCCTATTAGTCCCACATAACCTCATAACCAGAGAACCCACGCGCTGATCTCCCGTATGACGTCATATGGCATAAGGAATTTCATCATTGTGAATAAAATATCCACTCTCAAACAATAAAAGTCATTGATTTGTATTCTACAAACGATTTGCAATCGATTGAAAAAAAGAAAGTGAAAATTTATTTTTTCCAAATTTGTCGGCTAGATTCATGCATGATCTTGATTAATTAATTAAAAAAGATCCATCAACTCTTGAACGTTAAAAAGGGATGTACAATGACCTGCTAACGAATTACAAACGATTCTATAGGGTCATTTGTTTGGAAGTAGTTTTTTGTCGGCTAATAGGATACTAGCGGATCCTTCTTCATCGGCAGCCAGCCTATTGTCGCTGATCCCCCCTCGCCATTCTCTGGTGCTGGGATTTTTATAAAGGACAGTCCGGCTACGGGGGTTTCCTCGGAATGAAATTAGTAACTTACGATTATAGAGAATTCATTACTAGACTAGATATGAATGAATGTTTAAGAATGATTTGTATGGAATGACATTCTCTTGATCATTATGTTTTATATATGTAATGGATGACATGATTAAGTACGTCATTTTACTCTGGGTACTATTAAAAAAATTACTCGCGTAAAATGGATAGTCTAAATTTATTCTTCAATGGGAAGTGGAAGGGTTTCTTTCTCTTTACGTGATCATTATTTCTGACTGTTATAGTCAGACAGGGGTTCACCTTTTGTCACGATTGCCAACATCTCCATAATTCTTCATAAAAAAAACTCAACCACTTTGTAAATTGAAAATTTGTCTCTAACATCTTTATGTACATGATTTCACACAATCATAATAACTAATGTAATTTCATAAAAAATTATTCTACTGTAGTGGACGCAACGAGAACCTCGTCGAGAATAAAAACTTATAATTCATATCTTCGAGTGAAGTAAAATGACTTCACTCTCGCCTCAATGAAAAAATAAAAATCATGCATATGTATTCATCAGATTTTTTGGAGAGCACAGCTCACTCACGTACGCGCTTTCGGTAATGCTTGACAATGTAATTGGAGTATCACGAGGGTGCTCGTTCTGGCCCAATACTGAGGTCCCAGTGATCGCAATTTATCGGACAATGATGATAGGATACTGCACTTGCGTGTCCTGATCTACCTGATGTCATGGGTGCACCTTGCTCCCATTTGTCAGTTGCAGGATCGTATATTTCTACAATACTAAGGAATGTCGTGCCATCGTAGCCACCTAAAAATTCAACTCAACCATAATGGAGCTAATTTTTCCTACATAACACAATTCAGTAGCGAAACGGAATATCTCCGAATCTAAAGGAGCTAATGAAATTTTCGTCATTACCTTTTGTATAGCCCTCAATTCACTCTACAAAAAAGGTCACGAGGAAAATTTTGCTGTCTCCCTTAGATTTCGAGATATTCATTGAAAACTGGCCAATATTGAGAATATTTAAATTATCATTTTTTTTATCTTTAGGGAACAGTTCAACTCACCCATAGCATATAATTTTCCATCCAAAACAGTAACACTGAGTGCACTGCGTGCTATCGAAACACTGCTGACAGACTTCCAGCAATCAGTCTCAGTATCATATCTCTCAACGCCATTCAATTGGCCAGCTCCATCATACCCCCCAACAACGTAAATATACTGTCCTAAACTGGCCACACCTGCGCCCGATCGATGTCCTCTCATGGGTGCAACCATCGTCCATTCGTCATTCTCAGGGTGATAACATTCAACCGAGTTTAGTCTGTTGGTGCCGTCGTATCCACCGATTGCATACAGCAGCCTTGAATAAAAAACATCAACTAATGTTTCAGGAAGAATGAATTTTTTGTATTCTTTGGAAAAAAAGTCATTTCTAATCACCTGTTGACCACTGCCACACCCACGCCGAGCCTCTTAACATGCATAGGTTTAATATTACTCCAAGTATCTGTTTCGGGATCATAACACTCCACACTATTATGGTACAGTGTCCCCGAGCACCCTCCCACAGCGTAAAGAAGTCCATCCATAACAGCAACACCCACACGATTCCTTGGAACTGACATTGGTGCACATGGTCGCCACTGGTCATTCACTGGATTGTACCTGTCAACCCAGTCGCTGTCATACCTTCAAAAATAAGAAATAAAACATGAAATTCATGTAATTGTCATGTTTGGAATTATTTCAAAAATCAATTTTATTCAGGAATTTTTTCTTTCAATAAGTTCGACTTAATTTCTGAATAAGTATATTCAAGGAATACATTATTTGGTCCGTAATAAGTTTACGAAAACAATCTATTAATTTTCGGCTTATTTTTTCGTTTTCATCAAAATCTTTGGATCAATATTTTTCGTGTGAATCGGGGTATCTCTACTTCCATTCCTTCTTTTATATCAGTAAAAACCAGTTTTACATAGTTCATGACTAGACGGAATCACAAATGGCAGTGTGTTAATAGTATTGCATGGCAGATATTAAATGTTTTATGAACCTAATAATGGGTTTAAAGTTCCCAACATGGAATATTTTAGAAAACAATTCGGGAATTAAGTTTATTGTTTTCTCCACATTTCCCATGGCAATAACAATGTCATTGATTTGTAAAAATTTCGAAATATCGAGTATTTCATGATGAAAATTAATGATGAAAGATGTATTTTCATGCATTATTCGACTAAAATGAATAACAAACAAACCTGTTATCGCAAGGAGCGAGCCTGCTCCCAGGTGAGTTATTCCTCCCGCCCACAGCATAGAACATTCCCTTGAGAAAAGCCCCACCAAGACCGGACCTGGGTACAATGAGCTTGGCGAGTTGGGTCCACGTCTTGTCGTCGACATTGTACCCCTCCAGAGTGTCCAAAGAGTGTTTCAAGAATCCCCCGGCGATATAAATCACCCTGGGAGTGTTGGGAGTCCTCTCCTTGACTACCGGCTTCTTATGCAACGTGAGATCCTTGAATATCTGGGCGAGGTACTCCCTGCAGGCGGGAACCTTCTTGAGAACATCGCAATTCTTCATCTGCTCCCTGAGAAAGCTCGGCGTCAAGTACTGACACCTCACAGCGTGCAGTATGTGCTCCATCTTCGAGCCTCTAGCATCCTCGTTGTACTTCACCCACTTGAGCACAGCATTGTAGACCTCTCGCTCCTCCTGGACATTCAGCTCGTCCTTTCGCACGAGGGATATCAGCTGCATCGCTGATAATTGGAGGAACTCCTCCTCCTGGCATATTCTACTGAAGTGCTGGATAATGAATTGATTTGCCTTGCGGTGGAGATTGTAACAGCCGTGCTGTTCAGCGAAATTTGCAATTCCAATGGCATTTGTTGGGTCCAACTGTTTTTCTAGGAATACGCAGCAGGCCTCTATTACATTGTTCACCTGGAATAAAATGACAAGATTTTGAAGACAATAAGACTTGAAACCAATTAATTTTTACATTATTAAGGGAATCGTTTGAGAAAAAAATGAATATAATTGTTATTTTTATCAAATTAATAATTAATTACTCTATTGATGATTAATGCAATATGAAAGAAGATACTTGAAAATAAATAGTCATAAGGAAAATGTTGACGAAGATAATATTCTCATGAATTTTTTATTATTTTCATTGAAATTCTCGTGACGACGCAAATTCTTCTATTGAATATCAATTCAAAAAGTGATTTCAAATAGTTTTATTTCCTCAAGTACTCTTATCTGTTCAGTAATATAATGTTTGTATTATTGAAGTAATAATTTGAGAAAAAAAGTAAAATTCTCGTGGTAATGCAAATGCATTAATTAAATTTTAATTCAAAAGATGAGTTAAAGTTCTTAAATTTCCTCAAGTACCTGGAACATTGTAGCTGCAGGGAGAAGAGAACAAACAGTGACTTCAGTGACTCTTATCTGTCCCGTGTACATGAAGAACATGAGCCTGGCCATTGCCGTTGGACAGACACCCTGAAGTTTCACCCTAGTCATTTCACATTCCTTTAAGCCTCCTGTGAACATCGCCTAGAGGGAATGAAACGAAAAGAGCACATTGATTTATCAAGAGGATTTTAGACAATTGCTTGCAAAACTGACCTTAAAGTATGGACTAGCAGCTGCCAGGATGACTTTGTGGGCATGGAAGAGCTCGGATCCCACCTCCAGGATGACGTCAGTCAGCATGTGGTGGCTCCTCATAATGAACATCATCTTCATGGCTTCGCTGATGTAATTGGTCATTGAGAAGGTCATGTCACCGAGGTCTGTCTCGTCGTTATAGACCCTCTCCCACTCGCTCTCAGACCCAGTCTCCGCTTGTGACCCAATAACAAATGCCTTCTGGTCCATTTTGATTTTTGGCCCATTTTGCGATACATAATCTTCCTCGCCATCCATTAATATTACGGGGATTTACTCCTCGAGATCTGGACGAATGAGTCAATTAATGAAGCAATGAAAATAATGGGGAACTTGCATCAATTTTTTTCAATTTTCTAATCGCAGGTTTGGGACCTGAATAATTAATAAACTAATTAAAAATAAAAATTAATTGAATAATTAATTATTAAATAATCCATTTAATTGTTAATTTAATTAATTAATTATTACTTCATTAATAATGAATTAATAATAAATAATTAATTAATTATTTAATAATTAATTAATTAGCCAACAGATTCACGAGAGAATCTCTTCCGCCTCATGTTAATATCAATTTTTTTTTTCGTATTCCGGCCGCCAATCCGTGAAAGCTCAAAAAGTGACTCTCCAATTTTATAATCTTTAACAATTGTTTTCCACCATTAAAGAAGAAAACCTCATTAATAGGGATAATGACCAGTTTTTTCTACATGATCTACCTCCCAATAAACGAACCGTCTCGATTACAAGACATAACGGCGCGTAAAACCTGGAAATTGAACGGTCTCAAAAGCATAGAACATAGAACATAACATGAATTACAACAGAAGTTACAAAAAAAATTGTTCTTCATGCAATAAGGAAAAAAATTGAAACGAAGAGGTAAAACAGCTGTTCGACTCATGCAAAAAACCCGAATGATTTTCAACTTTTCTCAGAATCTATAATCGTGACTCCTGCCATCCGAAACCTGACGTTCTCCACGTGAAACCTCACCATCGAAGGGCGAATGCCCTTCGATTTCTCCACATCAAATTGCAAATCCCCATAAAACCGCAGCAAATTAAATTAACAATTCCTCTCTTAACAATTCTTCAAATAAACCTCACACTCGAATATAAAATTTTCCATTTGCCTAATCATCTCCCCCTCTCCCTCGCTGAAACCTCTCTCCCAAACAGCCAGCGGATCAAAAAGAAGAAAAAACTCCGGGGATTCCCTGTAAATTCAAAAACTCAAACCGTCTGGCGCTGGACCATAACCTCACATCCCCACCCCCAACAATTCCCCGATCGCTAAAAAACTAAAATCACCCTCAATAACAGCTCCACAAATACATAAACAGAATAAAAGCCTCAGAATTGCCAGCCACGTGATTAAAATAAACGTGACACAACAGAACTCTCACCCAACTCTCTATTACATCAACACCTCAAATTCCCAACGACCCGCACACCTCCCGCTCCTTCAAAACCGTCAAGAGCCTCACAAAACCCAAAAACTCACTCCACAAAGCATAAAAAATAATTTACCTCACTGGAATGTCCACAGTCACTGGAACTTTGAGGTTAGTTCCCCGCAATTAGTCCAATTATTATGAACAATCCTCAAAAAACCCGTGAATTCGTCGGCAGTCTTAGCTCTCATGTGTGACGTTTGACACCAGCTGTATCTCGTCTTCCATAGAAACAATGAAAAACTAATAATCCCCCCGCGCACTGTCGTCACAACGGCCCAGTCCACCAACAATCACAGAACAATTTAATTACCTCCACTAATGAGCCCCACAAGAGGCCCCCGAAACACTAAACCTGGGCCCTTTCTCCTGTCTCATGTCCCGGCTGTTGACACCACCAGATTTCAATGATTCACTGTTCAACATTCGACGTGTAAATAAAACGAAAAAAAAAGTGGAAAAGAGCGGGTGTTATTCAACTGTGGAAATGCGCCTCGTGATCGATGCAATGACTTGCGCAATAGTTAATCCATGATTGTTATTCAAAATCACAGCGACTTCGTGCACTCGCTCACGAATAACAATTATTAATAATTTTATTAGTGAAGGGAGGAGATCGAACATTCGGCGATGGTTCACTGGTGACTCATTCGTAACAACTGTTAGTGCTCACTCGTGTGCTCGTTTCGTTCTTTAATATTTTGACGAGTCATCCTTAGACTGCACTTTCACCTGCCTCCAACGGCTCAAATATTTTTCACGATCTGTTTCGATATTTTTTGCTCCCTCGTTTCGATGTTTTTTGCTCACTCGAGGTATTTTTTTTCGGAGGGAAATAATCGCGGATTATGCGAAGGTCGCGCACATGCGAATTTTTTTTTTCATTGATCGATCATCGGGTGTGGGAATTGCATCTTGATGACGCTTTCGTAATCACGATTATCATCACGCAGGACGTGGATTCCCCATTATTGCAGAATGCGGAAAGGTTCTGCGGGCATTTGCACAATCATTCATCTGCGGATGGAGCGTGACTCGGCGGTTTTTTTTTAATCGTGGGGGCGGTGCTGTTCGGACACTTGTGATAAGACATCTGGGGAGATAATGTCGGGGACGCAGCGGTGATTAACTGGGAAATCACTCAGAAATTTTGTTTATTTGGTTTCTGGAGATTTTTGGTGGGGAATGTGGGTTTCGGCGGTTTTGGGGGGACGGAGTGAGCGGATTTTACGGTGTTATCTAATGTCGTATGGAAAAGTTTGAATTTTTTTCAAAATGATGAGCAGAGATTATCGGTTTGAAAAGTAATGCCATGAGAACCTGTGTGTGAGAAATTTTTTTGTCATTTTTTTTTCATTTCATCGTACACCTTTCGGTTTTTGCGACAATTTGTTTTTTTTTTATTTTGACGAAGCTACTGCGACTAATTTGTCTTAATTTAAAAAAATGTCGGATTCATTTCACTCGGGAATTTGGTTTATGGATTTTTTTTTGTTGCGAAAAGCAGATTCGGGCGGTTTGGAGAGACGGAGCGAGAGGATTTTAAAATGTTATCTAAAATCGTAAACAAGTTTGATTTTTTTTCGCTATGATAAACAGAGTTTATCAGTTTAAAAATTAATGCCGTAAGAGGTTGTGGATAAGAAAATTTGTTATTATTTGATTTTAAATAAAACAAACAGCAATAGTTGTTATTTTTTATTTTAATTTTTGGCGAAGCTACTGCGAATTATTTTTCTTAATTCAAAAATGTTAGTTTCATATGTTCTGCCACCATTATAAATATTACAGAATTTTTCTCGAACATGGAAAAATTTGATTTTTTTAGTTGAACGAAGTAGATTTGGAGGGGTATAGAAGGCGGTGTGAGTGGATTTTAATGATCTTCGTGAAGGTTGAATGATCAATCGAGAATTTTCTTGATGATGGGTGGGTTTAGGGGCAAATATCAAAAGTTTTTTTCTTGAAAATGTCATTTTATGAAAATAGGGCAGATTTCTGCAACGAATAGTTTTTCATACAAATTTAAAATTGACAATTAAATTCAACAAGTCGATTTTAGACTTTTAAAATATTCATTTAACAAATGTCGAAGCTTTCTCGTCCCCAATTAATTAATAATTTTTCAAATAAATGCATAATCGACGATTATTTTGACCTCTCGTCAAATGTCGATCGAATGATTTTTGGTAAAAACATCAAAAAGTTTTTTTCTTAGAAATTTAATTCATTAAAAAAATCTTTCCATATTTCCGAAGAAAATTCAACATTTTGTAGAATATTATTAACGAAAAAAAAATAGGAATATTGGATGAAGACAATAAAAATCGAAAAGAATCTCGCCTTTTCCTTCTCTTTTAATTAACAGTCAAACTTCAGACATTTCAGACAATATATTTATTTCTTATCAATTACGGAGTTGTTTTTTTTATCAACAATAACAGTGTAGTTTTTAGTAGTAGGCGTAACAAGAGTAGACGAGGTAGGTTACAAGGAACCTATCCTAATGTATCGTACGCCAACAAGTTACTATGGCAGCGGATCTCAGTGGCATTTATGTTTCATTATCATTTTCATTACTTCAATTTTCCTCATCAATCTTCGTCCCTCGGCTGGTCTTCCCATCATTCTACGGCTGAATGTATTATCCGAACATTAATGACGTGATTTTGGGTTCATTCACTCACTCATACGAATTCATTAAACGGAAAATACAAAAATTGAAGGAGAAATTAGATTCCAAAGCGTAATATTTTTCACTGCGGTATTTCTACCTAGTCTAATGTCTTCCCCACCCAATTAATTTCTCCAATCCACCTCGAACACGTGGAAAATACGCGTGCTCGTTTGAAAACAAATCCATAAAATTTATTATGTTTTTCTCGTTAAAATTACTTACACAATTAATTACATTTAAGTTTAAAAACGCTCTCGTAAAATCGGGCACATGTGTTCCGTATCCAGCGAGGTATCCACGCACTAGCCGATGCCTCATTTGGATTTATCATTCGAATTTACTCGTCAAACAATCGTGTTTAAACTAAGTGGCAGGTATTCATCCAAAGCAATGTAACTAGATCGAATTGTGGCAGTGCTTCGTAGAGTAGAATTAACATTTTATTGCCATTAATAAATGATTATTTTATTTTTCTTTATTTTGTTGAAAATTCCTATCTGCAATGAATTCAACTAAAACCCAAAGCAATTTCGTTTCTTTCGTTTATTTTTACTCAGGAAGTATTCTCTATTCATCATAATAAATTTTTTCATTTTTCATTTCAATGAATTTCAATTTAATTACTGTACGGAGAAAAAAATTGGAGAAAAATCACTAAATGAGAGGGTATTTTGAAAAATTCCCGGACATTTTTCCCCGTCAATTATTCCTCGACGAATTCTTCCCTTCGAAATTAATATTCCTCACTAATTTTTTTCATGTAGGATTTTACTTGGAGTTTTTTTCAGGAAATGGTAACGGAATATTTTTTTTCTGAAAAGGGAAAAATGAAAAATTTAACGACAAAAATCGTCCTTTTCTCATTCACGATTGTTTAATCAATTCGTTGTTTACCGACCAATTGATACATAAATTTTAAATAATGGATGTTACATTGACTGAATATTAATTGATGATGTTTTTTTTTTCTTGGGAAAAATTTTTCAGAAAAAAAATCCAGAAACTTTTTTTCCCGAACGAATCCTAAAATATCTTCCGTAAAGAGTATTTTGTATTGTTCCGCAATTTAATCCAATTAGTCTCTCCGTGTGATGTTCGAATTGTTATTTTGGAAGCGCGAGGATGAGAAGCGTCATAAAAAAATTCAATCGATTCCAATAAATCCGCTAGGCCGTCAAAATTGATTCCCTCATCAGCTTTTTTATCCTGACTCTTGCGTTTTACCACCAATTCTCCATGATTTCCATGTGTTATTTTTTCATTGAGGACTCGAAGATGTGACAATTGTGCCATACCAATGTATCAAATAGTGCCCCAAATCGTAAAAATTCCCGTATTTTCGTTTTAAAATCTTGTAGCCAGGCTCTTGTTGGCGCACAAAAGATATTTGTGGGCGATCGATCTTTGATTCGTTAGAGCTCGTGTACCGCTCCACGATTGTAAACGGACTCGACGAATACGCGTGCATATAATACATATTTCTTCATCATCTGAATGCCACTATGTACAAATTAATACAGAATTCATAATTCCCTCGACAAGAGAACTATTCGCCGGTGGATAATCAACTGTGGAAGAGGACAGATTCATCACTAGATTATATTTATAATTAGGTTCATCTAGGGAACGTGAAACAGCCACCTGATCAAATCACAGATTGATCACTCCCATTTGAGAAATAGAATCTAAAATCTTTCTTAATAATTTTTTTTTGTTATCCATTTCCATCGTATTTTTCATTTACATAAGTCTATCTTTGATTTTTTTTTTAGGCTCGGGTAGACACTAGACTGTGGCCCCCTATAAATTTGTATTTTGATCACTCATCAATTCATCGATATTTCAATTTCATTAAAATTTCACTTTGCTCTACAATTTCATATTCCAGTTCCTGATCTACAAGAAGAATTTCTTTTCATTTATCTCTGTTATTAATACTTATATTTTCTCATTTGAGGACTAAACACGCGACAGATTCGTTAAAATTGGTTTTTCCCATTAGATTGATTTTATATTCACAGACAACGATGCAAGTCTATGATTCTGTTACTCATTTATTGTTTGTGCGACATGCACATGATTGAACGGTTCATTACTCTATATAGTACAGCCAAACGTAAAATCATTAGAAGATAGACGTCTCGATAGAGTTCTTCTCCCCTCGTTTTATCCATAAAAAATAAATGTCAACTATGCGAGACTACTTGATAAGAAGTCGACGTGTGCGTGAAGCTGATTCATCTCTTGGAAAAGTGAATTTTCCAATATTTCGTTGCGAATCCCTACGAAAAAATAGACTAATTGATTTATTTTGTCACTTTAACTACGAGAGGAACCGAGTTTTACAATCAATAAGTGTCTAGCGTGTGCACGAAAATCTACTTCGATAAGAGACTTTCAAGAATTCAAATAGTCGAGTTGATCAATTACATCGCTACATTATTCCCCATAAAACCGAAATAATTTCATTCATTCGTCTAAACAACTACTAAATCGGTGAAGTTATATCGAATAACGATAAATATATCTTTAGATTTTTGTTTTTCTAATTAAAAGATTTTGGGCGGATACGACTACTGCTAAGGCCTCGCTTATCAATTATCATATATTATTTCTTTCAAATAAATATTGTTTTTTTTTGAAATTTTAGTCCCACACATTCATCATCTAACAGTCTAGAAGGTTATTAATTATCTCTTTAGGGATAAAATGAGATCATTTTCTTTACATTTTCATTCATTGAGAAGTTAAAGAAGAGATTGGACTAACAACAAATCATCCTCTTCAATTCCAACCCAATTTCGCACAATTCCAAGCACATAAAGTCGTTCAGTCTAAACATTTTACCTTCACCATCACTCTGAATCCTTCAACAAAAAAAAAAATCACTTCGATTACCTCGCACGAATATCCCTCAATAAATTTCCTCAATAGGCGCAGGAATGTCGGAATAATACACGTATTATTTAATAAGTGGTCANTCCAAAAATTTCCCCCAATTCACCCCTAAATAAACTACATCATGATGACAGTGATCCCCGGAAATCCCAAATAATCCCGATAAATTTGGCACAACATCCCTTAAAATGCACCAATAATAAAAAAAGGGACCCACCCACTGGCAGACAGTTTAATGTAGATATCATCATCATATAATTTCCAACAAGAAAAATATCAATTAAATCGCATTACGCTCTACGTCACGCATTTGATAAATGTTGAACCACATCCCCTAGTTTCATAGAACTGAAAAACCCCGTAGCACTTATGTTCACCATTAAACCTCTCATTGGAATAGAATCCTATAATTATCAATGTATTTAACAACATGTCAACGCCGGAGAGACGTTGATCGCCGACTCGTCGATTAATTATTTCACATCGTCAATGATTTTAAACTTTACAAGGCTGATGTCTACATTATCATGTTCCCCTCCCCCCAGAGCCGCCGCTAACTCCACTCGCACCCCATTGCATTCCCCCCCCCCTCCTTCCCCCTCCTGAAATCACCTACAAATTGACCTATGAATCTTACTGCTTAAAAATCAATGAAAGCCCCTCAGAGGCGAATACACGTAACCGTTTTCCCTCCCCCGTATCAGAAATTCCCAACATCTTAATTAATACCGATGGCTCATCAATCACGGTGGATGGAGATCCCGATGATGCTGTCTCGCCGTGAGAATGGCTTTGAGCTCCGACTCGAGTTGTTTTTTCGTCCGCTCACTCACGGATTTACCCCCGACCGAGGGCTGCGCCATCCTGGGGGAGGGGGTGTCGACGGCTTTGCTGAGATCTCGATTCTCGTGGCTTCGGGCGCGTCTCACCGGTCTCTTGGCCCCGGCGATGTCCTCCTGGCTCTTTTTTCGGGGTCTGTCGACAGTGAGCGAGCTCTCCTGATAAGGATTGAAGGTGGACATTGTGCCAATGGCCTCGGACGATTTACTGAGCTCCAGACTCCCCGAGCCCCATTCGCGCGAGAGTTTTCTCCCTATCGCCGCCCCCAATTCGTTGTTCGGTGACAGATGAGGACTTCTCGACACCTGGGAGGGGTGCACCGTCGTTGGCGGCGGCGGGGGTGGTCTCAGGGTGGCAAATACCGGAAAGGATTGACCCCGCTTTGCTGGACTCCGAGAGTAACGGGGGGTGGGAATGCCACCGCTCACAGAGTCCGATTTGACTGGGGCCGAGGGTCGCAGTGTCGCACTGCCACCGAAATTGGCGGCGCTCAGGCGAGGGGGGGGCGAGCCCCCGTCGCCGTGGCTCAACCGACGGCCCACTGTCTCCAGGGGACTTCGCGCCCGGAGGTTCGTGCTCGAGAGGGTGAACTCCCGGGGCTTCATCGGGGTGTCCAGGGAGACTGGGGACAGACCGTGCCGCGAGCCCGATAAATTCGTTGAGCTACGGCTCTTCTCGCGCTTCGGGGAACGCGGCATTAGGGGGCTTTTCGAACGCGAGCGACCGCGATCCTTCGAGGATTTATCGTCCTTCTTTTGGGATTCTTTCTTGCTTGACTCCTCCTTCTCTTCTTGCTGGACTCTGAAAGTAGAGGGAGTCCGGGTCTGAGAGCTGGGATCAAGTTTCTGAGGGGAATTTATTAATAGGGGGAGGGGTAATTTGAGGGTTTAAGGGGGGGGGGGGTAATTGGAATGAAAAGGAATTGGGGAGAGGAAAAGGCTGGGGATAGAGAGATGTTGTCATTTTCAGGGTTTATGACAGGGATAGCCGTATTCATAAATTATAATTACCTGGCGTTCAGTTAACATCACTCTTAAATTTTTAACTGTTTTAGTAATCATCAGTTTAAATATTCGAATTCTGAACTGTGTTAATCAGTAATTTTCGTAGGAAGATTGCTGATTGCTTGGGCAATTGGGTAATTGGTAATCCGTTTTAAGATATTGGAATTATTTACTTAAAGGAAATTCAGAGTCCTATTTTAGCAAATATTTAATTCATCGTCAATCGCAAATTTAAATTATTGATATCAGGCTATTTTTATGTGTTGAATTCTCTGAATGAAATCGAATTTTATAACACGTTTTTACAGGTTTTTACTGTTGAACTCAATGAAATGGGAAGATTATTTTCAAGAACTTTTTCGATTTTTACAAAGAGAAATGAAATAACTATAAATTTAAAATAAATTGTTTTCTGAAGTTTGAATTGAAAATCCGAATAAAAAAACGAAAATAGTTGAACAATTTAAAATTCTTACGAGTGAAGTAAAATTGATGCTTACGGGGGAAAGTCAGGAGTTGAAAGTAATTTTAAAGTTTCTTCGGGGAGAATTAATTAATTGTGGAAGAATGTTAATTTATGAGCTGAATAGAGAATAATTCGGAATGGGACTGTGAAATGAAGAAAAGAAAATGTGAAAACGTCTGAGGACAGAAGTTCGACTGTGAAAACAACATTGTCATTGTTACAATAATAAATCTAAAAAATATGGATATTTAACAATGACAATTTTCACACTCAATTAAATAATTTATGTGCAAATGGAAATTGTCATTTCAGTTCTCCATTTCTAATTTTGTAAATCATTGAATTCTCACAGTGAAATTGAATTTCGTGCAATTCCCATTGACTTTTGTAACCAATTCAGAGTAAAAATACGAAAAATGAAGAAAAGTAAATACGAAAAAGTCTGAAAATGAAAGTTTCCGAAGATAAATTCCAGTGCTGGTCCTCGTCCACAGGATAAATATGAAGTTTTCTCATGCAATTTCACATTCTCCATGCAGTTGAAATAGAATTGTTTCCGGAATTCTATTTGATTTTAAAGAAATTCACTCCAACAAACATGAGCATCACGCGGAATGAAAAATCGTCAAACAAAACTAAAATTGCATAAGTTTCTCTGAAATACTTGGAAAATACCGAAATTCCAGAAGTTAGATTGCTGCCAAGTGAAATATAAATACAGCAGTATGGATTCGGTAAGGCCTCTTTCATGCGGAATAAACAGTAAATTCTCCAGTGTTTCTTTTTTTCACTATTTCTTCTCAGTATGGCTAGCTCTAGCGTATGCAATTAGTCTGCCTGCGGAGGCCTCGTGTCAAAGGGAATGTGTTAAAAATAAATATCAGCAAAGGGAGTTACTCCGTTTGGTGAGTTTTATAGAGTTCTCATTCGTCAATTCTTTGATGAGATTGTGTTTTACACTCTATCAACGGTTTGACGTTTAAATTTCAGTCCATAACATTTTTTTTACGTGCGGGATTAATTTAATTGGTGATAATTCAGTGGTAAAACTGAATAAATGAATTGTCCACTAAAATTGTCGTAAAAAACTGAAGAAAGTATTTTAAAAAATGTAGGAATTTAAACCTAATAACATTTTTTTGGAATGAAAATGTGTGGTTTACACTGTTAAGAATTTTTGGTTGAAACTTCAGGGAATTTCGTAAGTAGAAATTCAATATTTTGTGGAAAAATCAATAGAAACAGTCAATTTCTGTTTAACTACTCCATGAAAATTGATAGAAATTAGGAAAATTCAGGTACATCTATTCTAGAATCTTGAATTATTTGAAAATGTAATATAATTCGGTACATAATATTGTAAGTTTGAAATTCTCGTCTTTCTGCTGTTCAAAAATTCGCAATTTCATGTTTCTATACCACTAAATCGAATTCAATGTCACCCCCCTGAAAATGACTGGTCGACTATCCACGAAATGTCAACTATTTCTCAACACTATAAATCGAAATTTTGATTTTCAAAAAGGGAAAAACATATTGTTGTAAAATTCTCACCTCCTAATCTCCTGAATCATCTCGAAAAACTGGGCCTTACTCTTCCTCCGTCTCCTCTGTTCGTGCTCCTTCTGAAACATTGAATCCTTGTAGTTGAATAGCTATAGCAACTCGTTCACGATGACTCACTCAATACCTACCCTTTTAACACTCTTCTGGAACAATGACGCAATTTGTCCCTGTCTAACAGTGTGCATGAGCTCTTTGGCAGCATGATGGGGGGATACTAGGTCAACGCAGTTGATGAATCTGTAGAGTTTTTGGGAGAAGAACATGACATTTCTGCTTCGCCACATTGAGGTTTTGGGACAGTGACGTAGGCGTGGTAGAGTATATTTGTAGAAGAGATGTTCTCCGGCTAGGATTATAGCACCGAGGATTATGCCCACTCCAAGAAGACAGAAGACACCAGCGACTGAACGAACGCCGAGGGGATGGGGTTGCATGCCAGCTACGTCGAGGCCCGGTTTCATCCCTTCGTGGCCACGAATGCAGGGCAGGCCTCCATACCTATTCAATAAAATTTTTTGTTTGAACAAGAAAAGAACATTCTTTTCATAATTTATATTTGAATTTATATTTTCATAATGTATGTGACGAAATATTAACGATTTGCTTCGAACAAAGCATTAAAACTTGCGCTTAATTTACCCATTAAAAAACGCTAATTGATTTATTTGTCATTTTCGATCGGAGAAACTCTTCTAATTATTTAGAAAATCCGAGAATTTCCTGGAATTTTCCAGAATTTTCCAGAAAGCTCTAGAATTTTCTACATGAAATCATTTTCTTTACATTTTCATTCATTGAGAAGTTAAAGAAGAGATTGGACTAACAACAAATCATCCTCTTCAATTCCAATCCAATTTCGCACAATTCCAAGCACATAAAGTCGTTCAGTCTAAACATTTTACCTTCACCATCACTCTGAATCCTTCAACAAAAAAGCCCGAATATCCCTCAATAAATTTCCTCAATAGGCGCAGGAATGTGGGAATAATACACGTATTATTTAATAAGCGGTCGTTCTACGCTGTAAGCCATGGGTGCAAGTCCCCCCACAGACATTAAAACTTCCCCTTAGTGTGCCCATTAAAAATAGAAATTTATAATTACGATAATGGCAGTGAATGGCCCGACGCTGATCCAAAAATTTCCCCCAATTCACCCCTAAATAAACTACATCATGATGACAGTGATCCCCCGAGATCCCAAATAATCCCGATAAATTTGGCACAACATCCCTTAAAATGCACCAATAATAAAAAAAAGGGACCCACCCACTGGCA